GATGTGATGATTCATTTGAGAAGTGATACAGTTGTGCCATTTGCCACACGCAACTGATTGCATGGGAGTAATTGTACAAACGGAAAAATTGTAATCTCCCAAATGGATCAGTCAAACACGTCAGTCAAATCCAACTTAATTTAAAGGACATGATGAGCAACCTTCCATGAACTTGGGTGTATATATTTTCTGGAACAATACAGTAAGTGTGAAATCATTTGCAAATGTCTCTTAGCAAAGGTCACAATGATATTATTATGTCCATTGTATAATAGTAGCAGCGAAAGTACTGGGGGGGGGGGGACTCTCATGTGTCACATCACAGTCATCATGCCAGTTAACATATAAATTCCTGTTGAATACCTTGTGCACTTGCCATTTCTGCCATAGTGTTTGCCATGGCTTGCACTCCAACTGGAGCCATACAAATAGGCATGCTGATTCTTTCTCCGAACAAGAGCAATGACATATCCACGCCAGAAATTCCTTGCAAAATTCGGGGTTTTATACGAAACCTTGAAAACAAAGAAAATGCCTGAGAAGGTGAATTGTCTGCCCCAAATGTATACTGTGCTACTGCACATAATTGTAAGCTGATATGACGACAAATATTTTGACACACTGCACTCACTTTAACTAGGCCAAGTTTAATATCTACTTTTTCCTTTACCTTGATTGAGTTAGTAAAGCCAGTGGGGCATCACACGAACGGTGTACAATAAAAATAATTGACTAAATAATGGAAGGAGGGAGAAAAGAACTTGAATATTGTACTGGAATGAAAGCATAAATTAATTCATAATAGCAGTCATTTTCTTTTTGAATGTCGCCAGGGATGGAGGTATGGTTTCATCAGCTAGGAGCTTTCCCCGTTCCCCTTGAATTTCTTGCCTTAGTTGGTAAAAACAGTCTTTACACCCAAGGGGGCGGGGGGTAAACATTTTTAAAATTTTTAGAAGTAGTTACAATTAATACAGAGCTTTGAACCACCTGCCTGACCTGACAAATAAATTTCTGATGGTTTTCTTAAAGTGCATGAATATGCTACGAGACTTGATTTCAGTCTATCACCTTACATGTACATCCGTTTTTCAGAATTGAAGTTTTGAACTTTTTAACAATATATAATGATTTAATTAAGGCTTCCTCCCTAGGTTTTATACCTTTTGTATGCCTCGCAGTTTTCTTTCAGCGTGAATTCCTCGTTCGCCCCTGATGCGTAGAAATCGTATGCATATTTCGGCAAGGTTTTCCTCGCTAATTCTTTGAAATCATTCACACAGACAGGCTTTGCCATCAGAAAATCTTGTCCTCTTGACAAAAAACATCATTTTTTATCGTTAATAAGTGAGTCAGAACAAGTTCAAACCTTATAAAAATAATGTAAATGAAGCTTAACAAGGTTAAAGGAGGCAAACTAGTTGGCTTTTTACAATCGTGCCCCGGGTCACCGCACCGAACTGTCCCGCTTATCACAGTACTTACTTGAACCTGCGACCTCCGAATTTCTGTCTGGCGGAAAGTCTGGCGAACTAA